ATACCCCAAAAAGTGCCCCCCCCCCCCTTTTTTTAAGAAAATGAGAGATGAGTATATATTATCTTTTGTGATAATATTATGCCACAAATGCTGTTGATTGAGCCTAATGTTTTGTAATATGTACTCCTTTGTCTGTCTTCCTCATCACTCTTTTATTGCACTGAGAATTTTCATTAAAGGGGTCATATGATGCTATTTTCAAATCTCATTATTTTGTGTATTGTGTGTAATAGAATATGTTAACATGCCTTAATGTTCAAAACTGCTTTATTTTTCACGCACTGTTCATTATTGCAGATCCTCTATGGTCTTTCTAAAATGCGTCGATTTCTACAAAGCCCCTCCTTCGAAAACCGCAGTGCTCTCTGATTGGCCAGCTGACCCAGTGCGTTGTGATTGGCCAAACATCTCAAGCATGTGTAGGAAATGTAACACCCCCTACCAAAATGTGAGCTTTAGCTTCCAAAGCAATTATAAGAACAGTTAACAATGTCGTCAGTTTTACTATACCACATCAGGCGCGTCCTGCTTCAGCTCTACTTGAGCGTCCAGTGTGAACTGGCCAAAAGCTCAATGCAGGTGCTCAACCCCCCCAAAAATAAATAAAAATTCAAACAGGAAAATCAAAGTTGGCACACCACAGCTCCAAAAGTAGAAAAATATTTAATTTAAGTTCTCACCACAGGTGACGTTTCGAGCCTAAAAGCTCTTCATCAGATGACAACATAATGCCTAAACAATTGTAGACACATGTTAATTTTACAGCTAAAACAACACAGATTATTAAAAAATGTGATTAACTAGAAAATTGCAAGATTCACATTTCTGATTAAATCCCCCAAAAATTGTGCCACCAGTTATAAGCAGAGAACAGAGGATACTACGTTTGTAAACATAAATCCATCTCTGTCTGCACTTGTGATTGTAAGAATGACAAACAATATGTTAATTTACACTTTACCAAACTCCGCATTTGAACAGTCATAAAACATACTTACAGGCTCTGATTCAGAAGTGCCAGATTGTCCTAGCAAAGTTGGAATTGCCCCATTTTTTAGAAATGGCCTTTCTGCACAGCCAGCCTTGTACTCTTCCAGGTTCAGGAAACTTTCCTCCGTAAAATGTGATGCACATACTTGAAAAATTTGGGTTGTACTGTTCTGGGACAGTGTTGTAAATAAATGTTAACCACTGACTCCTAATTGTGTCCACTTTCTGAAGGCCAAAAAAAGTGCTTTTGCTTTCGCATAGAAACACAAAGTGTCTCCCTGACATGGTGGCAACAACACTACTGCGATACCTGAAAACACGCCTTCTTACTTTGCTTATCTATTTGGGTGGTATTATGCAAATATTTCCGCATAGTGACTTAGATATTTGAGGGAGAATTCAATCGAGGCGTTTTCGGCCGGTCTGGATCAGCCTTCTCTTTTACATAGAACAATTCCTTTTGTGGGAGACTTTGAGCTTTGTAACTTTGCAGATCTTATACATGCACAAACAGCAACAAAACACACTAAAGTTCTGTGACATAATTATGCCTTCAGAAATGCAACAGGGTTTATAGATACAGGATTGACTTTCTGAATGTGAATCTTAGAATCAAGTATAGACACACTGGATACTGACTGTATTTATGATCAGGCTCACCTGAATATTGAACTTCCTTTCCTTGGCACATCAGTTCCTGTCTTGTCACTTCCACCTTTGCCATGTAGCAGAGAATTACCTTTTCCACTGCCTGTAAATAAATGTTAACCACTGACTCCTAATTGTGTCCACTTTCTGAAGGCCAAAAAAAGTGCTTTTGCTTTCGCATAGAAACACAAAGTGTCTCCCTGACATGGTGGCAACAACACTACTGCGATACCTGAAAACACGCCTTCTTACTTTGCTTATCTATTTGGGTGGTATTATGCAAATATTTCCGCATAGTGACTTAGATATTTGAGGGAGAATTCAATCGAGGCGTTTTCGGCCGGTCTGGATCAGCCTTCTCTTTTACATAGAACAATTCCTTTTGTGGGAGACTTTGAGCTTTGTAACTTTGCAGATCTTATACATGCACAAACAGCAACAAAACACACTAAAGTTCTGTGACATAATTATGCCTTCAGAAATGCAACAGGGTTTATAGATACAGGATTGACTTTCTGAATGTGAATCTTAGAATCAAGTATAGACACACTGGATACTGACTGTATTTATGATCAGGCTCACCTGAATATTGAACTTAGTCACTTCCTTTCCTTGGCACATCAGTTCCTGTCTTGTCACTTCCACCTTTGCCATGTGGCAGAGAATTACCTTTTCCACTGCCTTACCAAGAGTTTCTTCCATGCCATTGTTGATACTTACTGTTATGGCCTTTGCTTTTGTTTCCTTGACTCATGCTTTTGGATTATTGTTTTGGATTTGTTTCCCATTGGACATGCCTGTGTTTCAACCAAAGCTTGTGACCTGACTACGATTTTTGATTACTGTTTGGTTTATATGCTCAGTTCCTTTAATAAAGACCAGCAAATGGACTCCTCACGGCCTACCTCATCCTTACAGTTTAATGCTGTTAGGGTATTTAAACAAATATGTCAATTATTAATTATAATCCTGAGTGTATTTGAATTCAATAGTCTTCATTTATGCCATTTACATATACCCTACCCAGTTCAGCTGGGAGTATTTTATATAGAATGTGTAAAAGAACTTTGTTAAAATTAATCTGTGAAAGAAAAGCTTCTACTTTATATCTGTGCAGTGCATAAGTGTAAATTGAGTGTATAGTGTGTATCGGATCTGTTTATTGCGTTTAGACTGATGAAATCAAGAGACAAGACAGTTCCTCATTAAAGTACTTTTACATATGAGGACAATGACAGTTATTTTTTCTCAGTCTGTTCTACACGTTTCTCAAATTTAAGTAATTTCTCTTGAAATGCTTAATACAGCTATCTGTAACTTTCCTAAATGTATATTTTTCTTGATTTCATGCAAATTAGATCTCCCACTGATTTCAAGGAGTTAACACGGAAAACATATATGTGAAGCCATATTCTCAGTTGTCATGGTGTCATATCATATTGATACCTTCTAGGTTAGTAATGCACAAAATAGCACAACTATGACTTTGCTATACCTAAAAGGCTATGTTATGCCTATATAATATTTAAATATATTTGGTTTCTGTGTTCAATAAAATGTCTGCTATTGTAGAGGGGTCAAACATTCATATTAATACTGAGCCTCATAATACTGAACTGACAGTCATAAATCATAAAAAGCATGTGATTACCAATTATAAACGTTAAATTATAA